TGTTCGGCAGCCCCCTAATTTGCGCTCGGCTGAACATGTTCGTTTCCCTCTTGGCCGAGCGTCTGAACATGTTCGGATGCTCGGTGGGGCGCGCCGCACATGTTTGGCGTGCTATGCAACTACAAGGGTTGTCCCCTGATTACATGAGGAATATGGGGCTTTGTTACCTGTAACCCCCCCCCTCGTCCACCCTGCCCCCTGCCCCCTGCCCCCCCCCCTTTCGAGGTAATATAAGGGATTCACTCTCAAACACCCCAGCTGCAGTTAAAAAAAGAAGAGAAACTTGTTAGTGATCAATTATAAAATGGGACTCTATTTCCCATTTGAGCGGGAGTATTTGAGAGTCCCATTTATAATAGATAAGAAACAAGTCCTCCCCCCCCCTGCTTCCTCCTTCCCCCTGCCCCCTCCTTTGTCGTCGTGGCTGGCAGACAGGAAAAGGAGGGGGGGGGAGGGGATTTGGAGCGCACCAAAGACGCATTATTAGACTTCGGCAGGCCGGAGTGCCCGGATCATGGATGGGTACGTCCTTAACGATCTTGGTCACCCCCTTTTATTTAGACTTCGACAGGCCGGAGTGCCCGGATCATGCCGGAAAGGTTGCTCTTTTGGGAAAGAAAAAAAAAAAAATTCACTCCGGTAGTTCCGAAGCTGCCCGCCCCCCGTACCTTTGTTGTTTCGTTTCGGCAAGTTTTTTTAGCCTATTCCCGAACTTTTAGGATGCTGAGGACCTGAAAATGGCTGCCGTTGATAAATCCGATCGGCGGCCGTTGTTTCGTCCCCGCCTTCTCCTGAGAAGATTGAAGGCCCACTATTTTCCGAACCAACAGAGGTACTAGTGGTTTAAACCACCGGTACCCCAGGGGGTCTTAGGTCTCCTCTGGGGAGGCTCTGACGCAAATGTATATGGACCTGCGTGGCGCACCAATTCAGCCACCGCGTTAACGGCCAAAGAACGTGGAGGTACTGGTGGCTTAAGAGAACTCACAAGAAAAGTTACAAAACAAATGTGTGCCTTGCGCCACCTCCGCCTCCGTTGGCCTTGGTCCTTGTTGTCCCACCGGTGGATTAAAAAATAATAATAATAATAATAATAATAATTAAAAAAGCTATTTCTTTGAAGCCCAACCAATTCAATAACCTGTCAAATCTGGACAGGACCGCCTTTCAGGCCTTTTTTATTATCATTATGGTATGACGGGGAACCCCGTAGCAGCCACATCCATGCTCAAGCCACCAACAGGGGAACATGCGGAATCTGCACCCACCAGCAGGTGCGATACCCACTACAGCAGGTGGGCGATACCGGCCAGTGGTCAGCTGGTAGCGGCAGGATCTCTCATCGGCGCAAGAGCAAGGGCGTCCCAAGAAATGATATAACGGACGGTTGGTTGGCTTTCAAGAATTGAGAGATGGTTGGTGAGCGGTTGGAAGATGTTGAAAAAGTCAAAGTGCAAAATTTGACCCTCGGCCCGGTATCTCAAATGATCTCAAATGTTCTCAAATGTTCTCAAATGTTCTTAATGATCTGTACAATTAGACATGGGATGCTGGGCCCGGTTCCCAGCACGTGCTGCTCCCCACGAATACATTGGAGCATTT